ATCATGTGGGTTAAATTACAAGCTTATTTCTCAATAACTTCAAAAGTTCCACAACTGAAAATAATAAAAAAATTAATATACAGAGGAAGGTCTCAGTATATGGTTAAACTGGTTGGATATCAAGCAGAATTGTTAATCTGACATTGCCTCCACTTAAAAAAAAAAATCTATTGAAGAGGGTTTTCTATTTTCTATATGCCACCACCAATAATGCAAGAATGTTCTATTGTCATTTCAACACTGTCCACAGATAATATGGAACATAGTTAAACAATACACCAAGATCACAATGCATATGAGACAACATAAACAATATAGAATTTCAAAAAGACAAATGCCCATTACACCAATGTTGTTGTTCTGCATGTGAACACCAAGGTGGTCTTGATGATTTCCACAGAGAATGTGCAACTGTTCAATGAAGAGGGGTCACTATTGTCTCCTAAAGTCAACAGCCATCTTCTGCTTTGCTCAGAGGTACGTTGTCGACCTTGCAGTAGTGATTGAATCTCTCTGTAAACTGACTCATCAGTCTTGTTAATGAGGTTGAACACAAAGGTGTCATCAGCAAACTTGATGACGTCCCAGCTGTGAATTGCTGGAGATGTTACTGGAGATGTTGCTTCGGAGACGCTCATGCACAGCTGCTTCAGCTTTTCAATTAGATGCTGGGGAATTAATGTGTATGCATTGTATTTTTTCCTAAACGGTCTATGGTGGGTCAAAAGTTTTAATACTTCCTGTAAGTGTAGAGAGACCCTGTGAATATTTTGTCTTTCATTCCAACCTACCTAACTCAGTGGAGTAAGACTACATTTATACTTTGCATTCAGTCTCTTTAAAAGAACCTTCACTGTGCCTGTCCGCTGTTTCTCCTCATTTGTCTGTCTCAGACATTGAGCCAATCTGACTGATGGTTGCTTTCAGAGGTCTAATCTGTCTGGTTGGAGTTATGGTCTGCGGAGCATGCAATGGGTCATTCAATCAACTTAGAATATAAACGACAGGTGGAAAAATACTTTTCTCCCTGCATCATTACTTTTAAATTGTGGTTGTGCATTGTTGTGCTTTGACATTAGCCCATTCTTCACCTTTTACCCCTGACATCAGCAGTTGTCACAATGTGGTTGCACGCTCTCAACCAGTTTTTGTCAAGATACAATTTATAATGTGAGCCTTTGTGCCACCAGCTTTCAGGACCTTTAATCAAGAAGTTAATGGGACGTTATTAAAACCCGCAAAAAAGGGGAAAAGTCTTTCACCTACTGTTAAAATAGGCTGCCAAAACATGAGAAACATGCAATATTTTATGCAGCTGGTTTAAACTACATGAACAGATCCAATATTTAATGATATTTTAAAAATCTGAATATATAAGAGGTTTTAACAAATATTGCGGGGGGGGGGGGGTTATTCACAAATCCTATAGGTTTTAGACCTTTAAACATGCATGTTAGGCTTATTGGTAACTAAATCTCCCTAGGTGTGAGTGACAGTGATTGGTTGTCTTGTTTGTCTCCATGTGACTGGAAACCTGTACCCGGTTTTCACAAGGTGATGGCTAAATATGGGCACCAGTGTCCCCCACAACCTATTAAGGGACATGAAATAAAGATAATGGATGGATGACATTGATACATTTAAACATTGGGCCTTTTGTTGTATTGGAAGCTTCATCTGATGACCCAGATTATTTTACAACTAAATGTTTTAATAAGTTAACAGAAAATAAAATGAACATTAGGCATTATAGATTTCTATTATTAGAAAGGTATATTTTGTAATCCAATGGTTCAACTCTTCATGTTTTAACCAGTAGGTCAGCGTATGAGGTATAAATAATGGCAGGGTAAAAATGTAATTTAGCAAAAAACGTGAAACATTAAAGAAAAGTGCATATATTTAAAACACATTCTTAAATACAATACTTGAATACTTGTTAATTACTATCAAACACTAATTATTTTATTTGAAATAAATGAACTTTCATGCCAGAGGCCATCAGACTTGTGTTCTGGCATGAAGGCAGAGTTAACATGGCAGGGACTGCTGTTGGGAGCAAATGCCACATTACCATTGTTAATTATTCTGAAGACGTCGAGGCTTATTGCTCGCCTTCTGTCTCTTCTCACTGCCTTTAACCCAGTGGTGTGTTATTTTTGTCTTTTACTTATAAATCCTATTGTCTACTGTATGCATTTCTCTTTCCATTTCTTTCTTCTTCATTTGCACATGTTCTTACACAAACAGCTCCAAACACTGCACCTCCTTACCCTCCCTCCCTTTCCTCATCACCAGCCATGACTCTTGGACCATCTCATTCTCTCATCTCCCCTCCAGTACAAAGCTATGCTTGTTCATCCTGCCCTTGCTGTCCCCCCCCCCCCCCCCCCCCCACCCCAATGGCTGATCAAAGCTGGGCTTCCCAGGCCTCCGTGACAGCCTTTAAACCCGTTCCAGTCCTGTTGCTCAAGCCATGAAATATTTACCAAGTGCACGCACCTGTGCATGTGTACAGAATGTGCATGTATGAGTTAGAACAGCCTTTTGCTTGCTTTGATGCTCATTTATGTAGAAAATGAGAAATTTTGTCCAGTCCACATGAAAAAAGCACTAGCAAATTTTTTTTGTTCATTTTGATTTGAAATGTTTTAAACGGAAAAGCAGCTTTAAAAAATGGTTGTGTAATAAAACACTAAATTACAAGGTAGTAATATAAAGTAATGTCCACTAGAGTTGTACTAGCAGACTTTTATTTGTACCATATTTAGGGAACCAGTTAGGATTAGCAACCCATCATTTGCTCAGTCCAGCCAAAGGAGTTGAGGGGTTGGACAGAACCAATGATAAGCATTTGGAGACCGATGAAAATTACAATAAATAGGTAAATTGTTTAAAACATACCTCTGGTCTATGTTTCTCAACACATTTTTTTCATTTACATGGAAAACATTGAGACAACGTCACACCAGCTCTCCTGAAATCTAAATTTTAAACTTAACTTTCCATTGGAGCTGCAGAAAATCTCATTTGCAGAACCAGTTGTCCGTTATCTTAGAAAATTTCCTCACCTATTTCAACAACAAAACCTACAAAGTTACATCATCATACATTTATTTAATTATGAAAGACTAAACTCAAATTTATCTTCCCATGGATAATAGGTAAAAAAAAATCACAATACACAAACTTCAAGGGTAAAATTATATTTTGCTTTTTTTTCATACAAAGTTGCATTGATTGATCAATTAAGGACCAAAAAGACCCACTCATGTAAGCATGCCTGATTAAATTCCATTTGGAAACAAAGTATTTTATACACGACTGTTGCAGAATGTAATAATGTTTGAATATTGGGCTCAATAATTCCCTATAATTACCATTTTAAAAAATAGTGGCGTGAAAACAATACACACTTCTGTTCACAAATCACACTGATCTCAGGTTCTAGAGTTTTTGAGTGGTTTTTCTACCCCACTTACTCTTTACAGTTCCATGTGGTTGCTCTTCATTAGCCTGGTTAGGACCTGTGTGCTTGTATGTGTGAGACTTACATCCTCTAACATCTTGCTGTGTGTGTACATCTATATCTGTCCAGGAAGAACGTGTTTACAGTGCTGAAGCCACAGCTCTTTGAGGCCATCTGGGAAGCTAGCTGCTGTAATTAAATTTGATATGAGGGAAGGGATGGAGGGAGGGGATTTTAAAAAGTAACAGTGGCGAGACAAGAAAAGGAAAAAAGAAAGGGGGCAGCAGAAAAGGTGGTGAGCACCTCAAGACGCGTTGAAGCCGAATGAATTTAGCGATGGAAGGAAGTGGTTCATGTTAGGACACACGTGCACACCCACTCCAGATGAAAAGGAACATTCTGCAGGGGGCATACTCTGCCAAAATGACTGTTAATTCAACAGATGCTCACAGATGCTGCCAACATGTGTGCAAGAGACATAGCTGCTACATTAAATATGTGTTTTTTGGGCTTTAAATTAAACTCTTGTCATTTCTGTATGCCTTGCTGTGAAACTTGAATCAAAAATATTTATACTAGGGATGCACTATATTATCGTCATGGTATCGGTATCAGCCGATATTAGCGATAAATATCGAACATCAGCCATTCCATCAAAATAACTCACTAATATAAAAGGTGCTGTTCATATATATATATATATATATATATATATA